TAGTGACACTGATTATTTGTTTCATGTTCAGGGACTTCTTCTATAATTCCTACATTTAACCAATCTGTGAAAACATTTTCGTAATCCTCCAATTTGCCCTTTTGTATCAACCGATGTGTCATACTGTTTAAATGCTGCGTAGCAATATCAAAATTTTGACTTAAACAGGCCCCTTTCTATTACCCAAGGCAACTGAATCTCATATCTTCCCTCTTTAAAGGTAATAGTTTTGTTAAAATGATTCATTGCAGCAATTTCCATTTCCTTTCTGCATTTTTTTACAGGTTTTACAGGGTCTCGAATACCCAATGAATCTCTTACAAATTTTCAATCTTCGATGAGTGAATTAATAAAGAAGTCTCTGCAACGACATAAGTCACATTTTCCTTATCATCAATATGATCAAACAGTTTTTCCATTAAAATCCAACCCATTTTGGTTTCCGTTGTAACTAATGTCGAGTTTAAACGTTCAGTTTTGTCCTTTACTAATTTCCAATAATTATCGGCTCCAATGAGTAAAGATACGTTGCTGTTATCTAGAGATTCGTGATCAACATCCGCTTAAATTATTCCTCTATCTTTTAACAACTCCTTAATATTTTCTGGAGGATAGTCTAGTTCAGTATTTGATATTTCATCAGTCTCTAAAACCCCAATAATGAATTCCTGTTTATCAAAAATGCTTTTTATTTTTACTTGTACTTGTGCACAATTCTGTTTGGTAGGCACTTGAGATCCAAAAGTGGGAATCATTGTTTCTTCTCTTCCCATGACTTTTAATCCCAGTTGTTTAGATAGACATTTCTGAATATATGAGTGTTGACTAGCACTGTCAAATAAACAACAAACTAATTTATTATGTGACATACTTTTAAGTTCTACTGTTGCCGTCTGTAAAAATATTTTATTCTTACCCATGCTAATACGATTGCATGCTGAATTTTCTACACCTTTTGTTTGTGATATTTTGGGTTTTTTCTCATTTTAGCAACAAAGTGTTGCGTTATGTTTTTGGTGGCCGTATATACAAGAATTTTTCTCAGAGCAGTCTGAAATTATATGCCCTTGAACCACACATAGATAACACCTACCTTGCATTTTTAGTACATTTCGTTTTTTCATTTACACTCATATTGCACTTTTCATTATTTTGTGTGTTATTTTTGCAAAAAATACAATTTTCCTCTTTTACTGGAGCTAATAATTCTGCCGCCGACGAGGGGTTAACTTTAGAATTAAACTTATTGTTTGTGTATTTAAAATTACTTTTGTGTTTGTCAAAATGTTTATTCTTTCCATTCAATGGAACAGATTTCAGTTCCGGTTTGTTAACTGTGTACGTTTGTTCACGACATTCAATTTCTTTTTTCAAAAAAGCAATTAAACCCGTAACATCAGATTCTTTTTTTGGATCACGCTTTCGTTGATATTCAAGAATCAAACCATGAGGCAATAATTTCAATAATATTGGATTTAACAAGTCTCCGTATGAACCTGAAGTTACTCCTAAATTACTTAAGCTTCGAATCTTTATTTCACAAGCTTCGTGTAATCTTCTTAGTGCATTTAAGTTAGAAGAATTTTTAACTGGTTCTATATCTAAAAGATTATTCATATGTAATTTTATAATTTTCTCTGGTTTTCCAAAGTGTTCTATTAAAAGTTCTAAGCATGAATCGTAGTTGTGTTCGGTTAACTGAAATCCTTCAATGACATTATATGCTTGCCCTGTCAATAATGATTTCAAGTACACGAATTTTTCAATCTTGGTAAACGCTTTATTCTGATCAATCACAGCATGAAAACTATTAAAAATTCTAACCGTTTTCCTGCATCTCCTGAAAATTTTGAAATATTTAACTTCAGCAATTTCATAGCCGATGACGATACATTTATTTCAGAAACCGACGTGTTCAAAGAATTTGCATCTGATACATTTTTCACAGACAAATTTTCATTACATTTATTTAATCTTATTTTAATTATAAACTTTGCAGACATAATTTGTTCATTCTATTTATCACTTGCAGAAATGTCTTTTTCAAATTCTTTAGCATCTTTTAACTGAGTTTTGATTTGTGAATTCAACATTTTCAATGTGTTTTCTCTTTCAAGAATGGTTTCATTCATCTCCTGCAATTCCTCAATGTTTGTGTTTTCGATATTTTCTGATAGCAAAGATTCTATTTTTGTAAGTAATTTCAAAATTTCATTCGTACGTTTCTGCTTCAGTTTGTCTAAAGCTTCCATATTTAAAATTAAGTAATCACAATGTTGAAATTTTTTTTTTAAATTTTCAAAGAAAAAAGGAATTGCTTACCTGTTTACAGGTAATCCATCTGCTAATCTTAGAAATTCTAACCCAAAAGTCCCGATTGTAGCACCACTAAAATGTTGTTTCTAATTCACGAGTTCTATTATGTCGAAGTTTCTATCGGGAGAGCTTTCGATTTCTCGATGTTCAATTCACATTCGAATCATGACTTCAAAGTTATCTTAATGACTGTTTATTTACACACATCTGTTATTTTACAATATATACATAATTTTAGATTAATTTCAAATCAAAAGATGGGGATTACCCCCCTTCAAATCAAATTCTATTAAGAGAAGCCGAGTAAACGACCACTCCCTTCCAAGTTCGTTTTTTGACTGCATTGCCACTGGCAGAAGCAAAACTATCACTCATTTCGCGTTCGAGTTGTAATATGCTGTGTTGCAATGAGTGCCATTTTAATATCAGGTAATGCTACATGCACATCACAGAATAAACTGTCTGAGATGAAGTTGCATGCTTTTCTTTTTGCCTCAAGTAAAGAAATGCAAAAATGGATAAAAAGAGAAAAAAACAAGCCCTCTCCAGTACAGTCTTCCACTAGCAAGTAAATAGATATATAGTTAATTATAGCATGTTAATTTTTAACATAGACATTTGTTCTCATGGTACACCAAAACATTGATTCTAGATTAGAAAGAGTGAAGTCCTTGAATCCATGTCATGACACCCTGCTGAATGACCATATTGGCTATAAGCCACTTACCACCTAAATCCTTCTTCAAAGGTCAGAGTAAAAAAGTGTTAAATATCAGTTTTATGCTGTAGGGAGGATGATCCATTATCTCCCACTATGGGTATCACTTCAAATCATATGTATGATGGCTCTGTGTGGTCCTGTGTTGTCATGCATTAACACACCTTCCTTTTCAAAGGATTATTTTTTAAACTTTTTCTGCTACTCTCTCACAATCAGTCTAGTGGTTCAGAATAACTCGCAGCATTCATTGTTGCTTCCCTGGGTAGGAAAGACGAACTGACAGCACTCCATGTTGGTTCCAAAAGATTATCATCATAATTTTTTATGGACAGGGGAAAATAGGGGGGATAATTGTTATTTCCATGATATGGATACTTCCTTCACCTTGGAGTGTTACATAGTGCACCAATGCTTCATCCCTTGTAACAACAAAATGCAGGAATGAAATGGCTTCCTTGCTAAAGTGCATCAAATGCACAAGAGGCATCCCATTGTCATGTCTTTACAGTCATCTGTGAGTTGTGTAGTCACCTAACATGAACACAGTTGCAGTATCTCAGTAATCATAAACTATGCTTGTACACTGCTCACTGAGATGCTGAGTTCAATTGCAAGTTGAATAAGACAAGCATCTTGACATTTGAATGGTATGGTAATTACTGCTATCCAGGCAAAAAATTTGAAGAAGATTATTGCATCTGTAAGAGATGTTACTTTACTTTTTGAACTGCCCTCACAGCTAGACATGTTTCTAAATGATGATAATGCTCAAGTCATAAAGATTTATATGCTTACTGCAATATAGCCATTCAGATAATGCAAATAATGTAGATAGTTTTAGCAAAGTGAACTAGTGTTTACGTATATCAGGCTTTCAGCATGTTAATTAATATAAGAGATGAATACTGAGAAATTTTTTTTTGCTTTCACATCAACTACTGAAAAGTGTCTATTTTTCTCTTGGAGATACATGTATCCATATTTAAACTTGTTTTATGTCCATATTTCTGTGATATTCCTCAGAATGTTGCTGTTGATATTCATGCTTTGGTCAACATGTTTGCCTGCAGGTTATGCATGATATAAGTTTTGTTCTGAAGACAACTTCCAGGAAGTAATTCCATGTGTCACTGAAAAGGAAAGCATCTATGTTTCCCTTTTCACTCAAAAATGGAAGCCATTTCTTCTGACTTCACCTCTAACCTGAGAATACCTTCTTGTGATTGTCAGCCCATTATTTGGTAGTAGTAAAATTGGTCAGCTGATTCTTCACATTAAAGACACATCCCTTCACTATTCTGGAACTTGACAAATTATTGTGAGAACTACCATTCGAGCCCATAGTGATGAAGTTTGTGGAAAAATCCTATATTTCATATTCTGTTTGAGTGCACTGTGGTTTTACATGCAACAGTTTCAAGAAATAAATAGAAGAAAAGCATACAGTTATCAAATTTAATACTAGGCTAAAATTTATAGACATCTGTTTTATTACAAAATCGTATTTTGAGTGAGATAAGCACAGGTTCACTTAAAAGTTTTCAAATAAATCCTTTATTAATGTGGAATTGGTATTTGACTAAAGTTAAATTATAAAAAAAATATAGTTAATTAAAAAATTGGTTGTCCACTTAGTATTTCTAATTCAGCAGCACAGAGATTTATGAGTATTTGTTTTTTTATTTATTGCATATGTTTTTTAAACAGTGTTTCTCAATCTGCTTTTGTTCGTGTTCTTCATCTCAGTTATTAGCTATATATTTAGTTTTAGGACAGATGCAACAAAAATGCACTTTTTATGTGTCTGTTAGTAACTACTCATATCTAAGTTTTTCATTCCCAAATAGATTTAACTAATTTTGTAAGGTATATTTACTTACTTTTTTCTCAATTTATTTAAAATAAAACATATTGGCAAAATTGTAGATCAATATATTTTATGATTTTTTTATGCCATTCTTAGCTTTTTAATGATGCAATTAGAAATGCAGTGTTGTATAAGAAAAATCCCACAGACTTCTTTGATAAAGTTATGCAAGAACTAGAAGTAAGTATTTGGAACACTTCAAAATTTTCTCATTTTTTTTTTTGTGTCATGCTGATAATGCTCGATTAGCAAAGCTACTATTATTTTGTATAATAGATTGAAGATTTCTTTCTTTTTTTATTTTCATATTTAATTTTAACACCTCGTAAGTGATGTTAAGCTATCAACATTAAACATATTTATGGATATCCAATTTGTATGTAACATGGAACTTAGATTTCCATTCTTCAGTCGTTGTAATATGTCTAACAATTTTTATAATGTTTTTCTAGATAAAGATTTTTAAGGTGAAACAAAATTTTTAGAAATTACCCATAAATCAACTAAAACGTCGCCACTGACTGTGAACGACTGCACTTTTGAAAAAGGTGGCACGATTTAAATATCTTGAAACTATTATCACTAATAAAAACGATTTATCTATGGGAATTAATTACAGGCTCCTCATTGCACATAGATGCTACCATGGTCTTGAGAATCAATTCAAATCTCAATTTATCTGTTGTAATACTAAAACTTGTATAAAACCTTGTCATGCCCCATCATAATATATGGCTGTAAGTGTTGCACAATGACTAAAATAAATGAAAGTAAACTACTTATCTTTGAACGTAAAAAATCATGATATCTACCATAAATTTAAACAACCTGAAGGTCATAAAAAGCCACAAAATTCGATGGTTGGGTCATTTACACAGAACTGAATACACAAACCCAGTAAAACAACTCATATTTACCAAACCAATGGGAGCTAGAAAGTGAGGAAGGCCACCAATTAGTGGCTTGATGCTGTTGAGCATGACATTAATACCATGCATAGGGGAGACTGGAGGAGTATTGGTATGGATAGGTCCAGATGGTGTAGACCAAGGATGTCAAACTCGCGACCCACAACAAATATTTTTGCGGCCTGGCCAATATATCGGCAAATAATAAAATAACATATTGACGAAGAAAAAAATGAAATGTTTACTGCTAAGTAATTAACGATAATTTATTTAGTGTTGTTAGATTACTCACAGCGAGCTGACACACACACTACTTAAATTACAAATGCGTGTGAGTAGCTTGCGTTCAGCTACCTTCGGCTTTTGGTGGACACGTGCACTCAGAACTTGTACGCATCAACCTAATGTGGCCGAACTCACGGTCTCAGTTTTCCAATCATAGTTTTGTACGATATATTGGTGCATGCATGTGCATGCACTTTGCTTTATTGTTAATTATTACTTAATTCATATTATTACGGATTTCATAGTTATTTATTTAGTTAGTTTTTTTTATTTAGAATTTTAATTAAATTTGCCTCGTGTTGCCTTAGCAATGCAGACGATTTTTGAAAAGACAGCTGCGTTGGAAGGTTAAAAATAGAACAGCGCATGCATTTAATACCTAATAAATAAATATCTCGTAATTGCTGTTGCCATCCACAAAAACCAGAGGTTTGAAAATACTCGAAAATTTGCATATGAAACTATTTCCATGTTTGGTAGCACTTATCGGTGTGAGCAGTTATTGTCAGTCATGAAAGGTAATAAGTCTCCTATTAGAAACCGTATTAATGATGCTCACCTTGGGTCAGCATTGAAAGTTATCACTGCAAAACAAAATTTCTCCCGAAATAGGAAAGATAATAGCAGAGAAGAGATGTCAAGTATCAGGACGTAAACATTAAATTTTTCTTGTTCTTTTCTATATAAATATATATCTATGTTTATTATTGTATTATTCGAAATCTACATTTCTATGAATATTGTTTTTTTTTTTTTTTTTTTTTTTTTTTTTTTTTTTGCGGCCCACCTAAAGTTAAACCTTGTTTGTTTGGCCAAAGTGTACCTATGAGCTTGACATCCCTGGTGTAGACTGATTGAGATGCTTTTGGTCAACAGTAAGCTGTAATGCCTCAAAAGAAGAGGATAAAGGGTTTCAGTAAAAATACATAGTTATTTCCATCTGGAACATTGTTAAATATGTCAGCTGGGCAGAATATACAAATTATTGTAATTTACAAATACAAACCAATACTTTAACGGGTTTCTTTTGGAGGGGGGAATTGCATATTTAAGACTAGATGCATGTGAAAGTAGTTGCTAGCATTTATTGAAATGCATTAATGCTTAAACTAATAAAATAGAAAAATTGTTATAACTAAAAGTTCTGCAATTAATCAACAAGAAACTTAAGTAAAAATTCTTTTTGTAAAGTTATGGACATTTTCATTTTATGCAAAATATTTATTTACTGTTAAAGTTTGCATATGTGAACAATATGCCATAATTAGTTGAAGTACTGCTGTGTCTAAATGGTTTTCCAAGTTACTAGTTTTAAAATTTCAAAATTAATAAATTTTATTTCTCCTATTCAAAGTATTTTTACTTATAGTCTGTTTCATATATTGTGTATCTGCTTTTGAGATGCATTGAATTAGGTGACATCTTGATGATGTTTCACAATTAAAAACAAGATTTATCATTATTTTCAAAAGTTGCAAGTTCCCTAAAAAGTTACTAGTACTTTAGATTTTCTTTAATTATTTTAAATTTAGTAACTATTTGATTGTTTTGCAGTTCATCTAGAAATGTGTGTCTGTTGATTATTCGTTTGGTTGTTTCTTAACAAAGGCCAAAGAATTACCAACTATCATTTAAAGTCATGTGATTTTTTTTATTATTATTATTGATTTACTTTTACTCCAGTTTTGTTTTCCAAATCATTTTAGATTCAGTTTTTTTTTAATATGTGCATTCCTTTTAGAATGTTCACCACTTGGAATTGATATTAATTTTGTATATTTTAAAGCATTATGTTCTTTACTGCTGAAATTTAGATGGTTAATTCTGATATTAAATGCATTTCTAGAGGAAGGTAATTTTTAGTTGTGGTTACTACAAATCAGTGCTTTTGGGGCAATTTGTAGGTAGCACACTTTTAATGCTGTTGTGATTTATCTCTTTCGTTCCTAAGTACTTAGATGGGTGTGCATATATCAAAATTAAAACTTAAGAAGCCATTAAAGAGACAAACATATTTCACTATTAAGTGTACTGAATGGGTACCAGCTTTTCTAGAAGCTGTTTGTGTTTAGAAACTCACTAATATCGTGTTTCAGAGGAGGGGGGAAAAAAGAATTATCTTTTTTGTTCACAAATTGGTTTTTGCGTCATTTGATTTTTTAAATATTTTCTTTAATAGCAACCATAATATATCTTTAATGTTACAGAATTTTTTTTAATTAAGCTGGAGCAGGTTAATAATATTAAATGGTGGGTAATCATATTTCTGTTCTGTTCAGTGTATGCTGCAGGACTAAAATGTGGATAGAAGTATACAAAGTAGTTATTTAATTGTATACTGCACAAAAAAAAAAGGGACAGTTCTGTATCTCCTGTTCTACTGGGCTGATTGACAAAATTCAGATTGTGCTTTTCATGTCTTTAAAGCGTGATGTAGGATATATATTAGATTTATATATAGCATTATTCTAACATATTTTGACACAAAATCAGATTTTTTTTCTGAAGTAACATATCAATTTTTTCCTATATTTTGTTTCTACGACTAGAATTATGCCTAGATATTAAATTTTGTAATTTTAGGTGTGAAATTTGTGGAGAAACTAAAAAATTTATCTTGGCAAATTTTTTTTTCAGTTTGCGCCAAGAATAATTCACTTGGTGGGTTTCTTAATTTATAGTAACCTACTTACTCTCCTTATTTTTCTTTGATGTACGAGAGGAAAAAAGGTCAATCATTCATTCTTCCAAATGATTTTAATAAAATGCATAAAGCACATTTTTTTTTTATTATTATTATCGCTTATATTAGATACACCAAATTTCAAAACGTGCCAAAATGTAAATTCACGTATATCTTAGGAAACTTTGAATAAAAAACTCTAATTTTCTGCAGATATGCTTAGAGAAACATTTACTTTAAGATGATGTTAAAAATTTTATAGGTTATAATATAGAAATTTTTTTTGAAATAACCCTTTGATGGGCAGTGGGATGCAGGCTTCCCACCTTTTTTAACAGTTTTTATCTCCCAGATGAAAGCTGCAAAATTCCATTTAAAATACATACAATTATGCCTTTAAGTTCTCTAAATATATAACAGATGGCAGCAGTAGTGTTCGTTCATAGAAATAATGTAAAATAAAAATTCTTTGCAGGTCTAATTTTAAAGCAGTTTTTTTCCTTAATTTCTAATGCAATTTAAATCGTGTGAACAACAACTTTTGGTGTTGGAAGGATTATTTTTATGTGAAAGTTTCCTTTTTGAATAAAAATTATTAATTCATGTATTAATTAAGAATGGTTGAAATTAAAAGGTGGGACCAAACACATCCCACCGCGCATGTAGGAATTGCTGCTAATTCACAATAGAAAAATATCCTAAGCAGAGAAAAGAGAGGTGAAATGTAAATAAACATGACGGCCTTCTAAATATCTTCCTTTTCAAAACTATAGCAAATAAAGAACTGGAGCGAAAACCTTCGCTGTTTCAAAGCTATTATGAAATCATTAAACAATATCTAAAAAGTCGTATAGAGAGCGATTTTTTTTAATTATGTAATTTTTAAAAGAAAAAAATATTTTTTATTTTGGGAATATGATGAATATTTTCTAGATAATTATTCAAAAACATTTTTTATATCTTGCATTTTCATTTGGTTTCTAAAATTAGCACTTTAGGTAAGCATGTTAGGAGAATTTACGCTGAGGCAAAGATGCCATTTTACTGCTCTAGATGTGCGGTGGGAGAAGCGGTGTCCTACCACGTCATGAATTACCTTAAAGGTTTGCCTGTTTTTTTTTTTTTTTTTTTTTTCAGGAAATAACATTGTCTTAAGAGCTAATTAGAGCCAATTTTTAAAAACTACTCATGCGATTTTTACAAAATTTGGCAGTTTAGTATAATTTGAGTCATAAAATCGAAATATAAAATGGCATGTCATTTCAGAAAAAGTCCGATTTTGTGTCAAAATACTTATATTAAAACAATGCTGCATATAAATCTGTTACCATAAGTTGCACTTTCGACACACGGAAAACACAAGTTGAATTTTGTCAATTGGGCAAGTAGAACGGGAGCTATAGAACTGTTTTTTTTTTTTTTTTTCCCCACACTGCATCTGCAATAATTTCATCTGAAATTCCTGTAGTAGAGATCATTTAACCTTTACACAAAACACTTATAAAGAGCTTTAAAAAATCTATTCCTAGTCACGAATAAATTGTTCAGTTGAATAAAAAATTACAGCATAGCATTCCAAATATTGTTCGTTTGTGGCCCAAATTACCACAACTTGAATTTTTATATTTTGAAACTTTGCATGCTACCAGAAAGTGCTAGGTCTCACTAAATTTGAGCTTTCGTACATTATTGGAAAGATAATGCCAAATTATGTAAAAAGTAGAATCCAAGTGTATGCTGTGCAGAGATTTATGCTTAGACCTTATGAATGTGTTTATACCACCTCAATACACACCTTATGAATGTGTTGTTGAGTAGCTAGCTACAATTGTAAATCCTACTGGCCATTGTTCTAAACACAAATTGAATAGTAGTAATTGAATGCTGGTTTCATGGTTTGTGTTGTATACAAAAAACAGTTGCTGCTGCAAGTGAAGCTCATCTGAGATTTTATGAATTAGTATTTAATCAAATTTGAGGTAAGTGCCTCCGTATGACTAAAGACTAGAATACTAGAAACTGCTTAGAAAATATCCATGCTTCTCTGGGATTCAAACTGAGACCCATAAGAGCCCACTGCTAACCGCTATATCGATCTGAGCAACACCATGAACATGCAGCAAAACTGACTTTTAGCAATTAGAAAAATGGTGTATTGTAGCTATTACCATATTTGATGCATCCTCAAACTAAAGACTAGGAGTAAAATTTATATGCCAATAAATAAGTCTTCAGTTTTGGTTGCCATCATAAAACTGTGATAAAAATGTTGTTGGTTAATAATATATTTTTTAACCTTCCAGCATGTACGCTTGGCAATTTTACATGAGCACGTGCACTTCGTATTTTTTTACGACATCCATTATTTTACTGTTTTGGGCACGAAAAATGACAGAAATGAGTGAATATTGATTATAAATTTGTTAAGAAATAAAATATTAATCTTATTTTTGCAAAATACAAATGATATCACATTCAAATATAAGTAAATTATTTTTAAGTTCTTATGTTAGTGAGATGGAAATGCAATGATGTATTTCATTATAGAAAATTTTAAATTTATTATTTAATAATTATATTTTAAAGTCGAAGCTAATTTTAATATTCACCAAAGACAAGTATAGACAGTAAAAAAGGAAAACACCTTGGTAGGAAAAAAAGGAAGTATAACATTACTTACTTCTGCAAGGAAATTTACTTCTTACTGGTTACAAAAACACACTTTAAACTAACTTTAATGTTTTTATTTATTTCTAAAAAATAGAAATGAAAGAAAATAAGGAAGGGAAATTGCTATTGTTCTTCCATCCAAAGGTTTCCTTGTCTTTCTTTTCTTCATCAGATAATTCTTGAAGAAGTGAAGCAAAATCAGCTGGTTGCACTTATTTTTTTGCCATGAAAACTGATATAAAATTTACAGAGCTAAATGTATTCAAATTAAAATAATACGCAGCAATAAATAACATAAAATTACAAAATATTTGAGGAAAAAATATTTTCCGAATTTTAAAACACAACCACCCTCGTGTCATAAACTTTATGAAAAAGCTGCCATGTAGCACAAAAGCCCAGTTAAAAAAAAGTCATATGACTTCGTACTGGCACATTCCATGATGTGGGAAGGGTAGAAAGGAGGAATAGAAGTGACCTTCAGACGTCTCAGCTTCAATATGCGAAAAATATGCATTAACCCCTTCGAGCCGGGTAGCGAAAACGCGCGCTTATCGCGGAGGCCGGCAGTGTCTTCCACGAGCGTCTCTCCAGGGCTGGGGGCTTTTTTGCTACTAAGCCTAAATCCATGAAATTTCCGAAGTATCAACGCATTGTTTAATGATGCTCTATAGAGTATTTAAATGGCTTATGCTTTATAGATATTTTTATATATATATACTTTAATTACCTTATTTCGTGTTTAAATGCATATTTTACACATTTTATTTTAATTACTCACCATTTTATGACTTTTAACATTATACATCTGAAAAGTAAATATATTACTTAAAATTCTGTTTTCGTATGAAAAATTTTAAAAACAGGGATCTACACACAGTCCTACGTTACATTCCTTGAACTTGTAATAACTCATTTGCCGTTTTGGAGGATTTTTCCGGGAATGTGAACAAACGAAGCACCGTCGTCTCATTTTCTTATCAGTCTCTTCTGAACAAAGTTTTGGAAAATGTCTTTCAGTTAATCTTTCAGAATCAATATCAGAATTTCAGAATCAATATCTGAAATATTTTGCATCATTTCTGCTATTTCATGCTCTGTTAAACATTTTCGACGCTTCAACATTGAAACGGTAAAAACAGAAAGAATTCACATCTAACAAGATCTAATTATTTTCTAAAAACTGAACTGTAAACCGAAATACTCAATGCTTTTAGCGCATATATATAAAACTTCTACTTACAATAAACAACTACCCACGTGCGAATAAAAGTGCGATTTTAAAGAGACGTCATAAATCACGGCATTCGGAAACATTTAGTTCCCCGTTTGTTTATATAATCAAAAACACGTGTATGTGAGTCATGCTTCTCTCATTTCGAGTAGAATGTCTAATGTACATGTATCTGAAACCATATGGGCATACAGTGCCATCTTGTGGCAGAAATTATAGTTTGAAAACGTTCCAAGGTACTGGCACAAATACGTGACATTCGGTAGAAAACGAAACAATGCTCTGGCACGCCTGCGTGTCGGCCGGTAGATAAGTGTGTTCTTTGCTGGCACGTATACGTGACAGTCGGCACGAAGGAGTTAAAAACTGAATTTGTTGTAAATTTTGTGCATGCGTGCATGCTGGGAGGTTAATAAAATTATCATGCACATCTGGAAAAATTCACTATTTTAATTTGTCTTAAATGTTGTATGAGGTCTTTTTCTCTCTGCCTTGCATGTGTCTTCATGGTGTAATTACAAAGTATTTCTGGCTAGCATTTGGAAGGTCTGGAGTCCTGGTGAAGACATAGTACATTTTTCACATCTTGCACTCCAAATAAACTGCCGAAAGGTCTGTTCAATGGAATATGCATATTTTACTCATTTTTCTATGATAGCATTTCTCTGTAAAGTTTAAATCTGTACGCAGCAGTTGTTTCTTACTAAACAAGAAAGTCTTCAACCATTTGTCAGTTTTCACTGATGTCTTTAAATTGTTAAACAATGTTATTTATTGCTGTGGGTAATAAGAATCTTTTGTTCAGTACGTGTTTTTATATTTAACATACTAATTTTCCCCTTCTTTTATTTAGGCTTTCGATGCTGGTAAAGATCCATTTGATGCAAGTAGTAATTCATTTGATATAGGCAGCGACTCTGTAGAAAGTTCTAATACGGTATCTGAAACTAGTTCTACGAAATAATGGTTAATAGTGTTTACCATTTTAAAGGACTTGTGCCTTGTCATCACATCATGTGATAGATAATCTGTGATTTTTTACTAAGTTGTGTCATAATTGCATTGTGTTAATGTCCAATTTTATTATTTTCATAACAACAGACAAAGATGCATATTGAAAGTGGCTGAATATCTGTTAATTGTATTTTTGTGAAATACTCATTATCATCTTTTAACATTGCAAGCTTGTGTAGAAAATTTGAAATTTTTGAAAGATAAATGGATTGTTTATAAGTGAATTTTTTGTATTATACTGACTTCAGAACTGTTTAAAAGGCTTCATATTAAATTCTCTGTGTAAGTGTAATGAATTATTTTGTATTGTAAAATAATTTGTCTTCACTTTATCGTGGAAAACCGTCCTAAAATTTTTATTCAACACTTTTAGATATAGTTTATTAAAATTCATAAGAAACAGCTTTCTTGCTGTATAATTAAAATTTTAATTAACAGGTAGAGTGTACTTGAAATATCAATATATTGTTCCTTCGGTTTGTTATGGACTAAAATTGGAGAAATTACAAACTAAAATTGGTGTTCGGAATGCTTCATGTAAAACTGCATATTAGCGGTAAATACTTTGTATGCAATTTGAAAACTTTTAATACAAATATGTATAAAAATTATAATTGTGTTGTTCCATTTTGATAAATCATTAACAATTATATGGAATGAAATAGCTTGCATATCTTATTCAAAAACAGAAGTATAAATGTGGTGATTTGCAATATAGTGTCTATAATATGTATTTTTCTATAGTTCATTTATTTTTTGTGTCTTGTTTATCTTAGTATTTCATGAATTATAGATTTATCTGAAGTTTAGCATTCGAAAATTATAATATTTGTATAATTCATAATATTCATTTTAAAATGCTGTTTAGAAGTTAAAATAAGAGGAAATAAATAATAAATACTTAATAAATTAAATAATTAGTATTTATTGGGATGAAGCTGCATTTTATTGTAATAATTTAATAGTGATGATTTAAATTTTACACGTATAAATGATTTTACTGACTTTCAGAACATTTTCCTGTGAGCTTTCAGTGTTTATAATAAAAGTGGATATGTTCAATGCTTTTTTATTTTTTAATTGAGTGATGTTCATATTTTTCAGCATTCATATGAGGAGTTTTTGTGAAATGATAGCTGATTAATTATGGCAGTAACCAGGGACACATAATTTAGCATTTTCAAATAGAAACTGGTTCATATATATATGTTGTGCATGTTTAACATGGGAAAAAGATATGAAAGTATGAAAGATGAAGTATATTTTCATTTTTTTTATCGAGTACTGTTTTAGAAAATTAAATCTTTTTCCCCATAAAGTATCTAATTTCGGAAAGCGTTCTTCTTATTTGGATATAAAAGTACTTTCATATTAGTGGAAATCATAGTTTGTCGGTATTTGAAGTCAGCAAGTTACCAACAATGAACCTATTCCTTTTTCTTTTTCATCTGTATCATCATTCCTCAGACTGCTTAGTTCCATCTTGTCTTCATTTAACTGTGGGAATAGTTCATTAGATCTTGTCAGTTTGCAATGATCTGCTTATTATCAGATGTAACCCTTCAGGTCTTTTATACTTCTTTATTTATGTTTTACATGTTCTAAATCTTTTATTTCGATAGAAAATCGCTTGATATATACTGAATTTTACTTTATAATAAATGGGAGTTATAAAGAATGAAAATTTAAAACCCTTATGCAGGAAAATTTAAATACGTAGATATGAAGAGTGCCTTTTAGTTACTTATGTTTCATTATAACCGTAATTTATTCTTATAGCATATGCTAATCTGGTAATTTATAGATTACATGAATTGAAACTTTGTAAAATGAGGTAACAATGGCTCTGTAAAATTATTTCACCAATGTTATAATCCGTTTATAAATATAAACTGACTAGATTATTTGTATTTAATTTGTTAATTATGCATTTCTAGTCATTTTCACAGAAGTTTATAATCATAATCATCAGTTTATATTTTTAGAGATTTATTTTAAACTGGATTATTATTTACTGTCATGCCCAATGTATTTTCTAGTCATAAATGTGTGAAGATTTCTGATGGATTATTTTTATTCACTAGCAATGTGAGAATATAAGTAGCATATAATTTTGTAGTTGTAATATGCATTTAATAGTTGCGCTTTGCTTCTTACCGAAAGAAAGGAAGACTAATAGAACAATTCATTTATTTCATTGTGCAATGAATTGAAATAAAGTAAATGTACACTGGCAGGAAAAATGAGCAAAACAAGGAAAAAGGTGATTAATTTTTTTAAAAAAAAGTTAAAACATTTTTGTAAGACCCTTTATTTCGACCTTTAAAATATTTTCAAAGCATAATGGCTGACTTTTTATAATTATATTTAAACGTTTATCATTATATTTAACTGTATATCCATGGTTTATAAATGAAGCATGACTTCAGTTATAAACCATGAAAATACATTCTTGGTTTTGTGGATAGTTTTAGTATCTTATGTTAGTATCCATAATCAAAATACAGTTTTTGCAATGAATTTTATACTTTTTATTATATTTTGTAGTAGTGCATGCAGTAAGAAAACATTTACACTAAATCTTGTTCTGAAGCTCCAGCAGAGTATTAAATTGACAGCTGCAGTGATACAAATGTAATGCATAAGTCATATTCAGTTTCATTTAAATATAATGTGCATGTTGCCCATAAGTCTGATTCTTTTGCTTTCAAGATATTCTGACTTCAGCTGCTACATTCAACATATTCTGCTCCCAACATGGAACCAATCATTATCATCCATCAGAACCAATTATCAACTTCTGAATCTCTGAAAAGCTTTACATGATGATCAGAATTTAATGTCGCATTTTTCAGAAGTGCAGATCAATGAGTCATTCAAAACGATACCTGCATGAGTATTTCATATATATAACTAACTGGAATAATAGAATTTTCTAAAGAAAATCGAGACTGTTCAACAAAAAGGCATCAGCCAGTCATTGCTACTTCAATCACTATACTATATGCATTATTTTAACTTGGGTTCTTTTTGCAGCCTGAGCAGGTGAAAGACATCGGTATTCTTGTTTAGAGACCTCTTTTATACAGTTTTTTTTTTTTTCACTCGCAGTGTATTAAAATATTTGAAAACATGCATGTTGGTAATTCCCTTATTATATGTGATACCATCATTTTCTCATTCCTTTTGGTAACACAGCCTAAGAATCTGACATATTTTGAGTTACTTCCCCATTGTACTGATAGCCTTGGCATCAAGATATATTAGTTGTGTCTTTGAGCCATTTTCAGGTTCTAGAAATGATATTCATAGGTATTTCTCGATTTCCATATGCCTATTTCTATCTAACCACAGGCTTTCCTTTTACATGCCATTTCCCCCAATTAGTCATGTACTTTCTTGTATATTTCACCATTCTTGAGTTTTGTAATGTATTACTCTGTCATTGTTTTGAATGAACCATTTGATGACATGTTCAAGCATTGCAGAAAGTATAGGTAATTTGCATACCATTGTATTGCAAAGTGAACTCTTTTAAACTGTTCTATAACATTCACATAATATAACTGACCTACCAAATTTCATTGAATTTTATCCTTTGTTACTAATGGCATACACCTTTTTGGCACACCTTACAGCAGTCAAAATTTTGAAAATCTTGTATGATTATGCTTGGAATAACTAATATCATTTACTCTTGCTAAAACACAGCAGTGCCTAATATCAGAAACTTAAACATGGATCCATAAAACTGCAGTTATTGGCATTAATTACTTAGTGTAGGATAAACATGGCATAGGTTCAAAATATAATTTACTTCAATTAATAAAGTTTTTCCCATAAGACATGGTCAACATTAAATAAAATAAACTGTGTATGATTACTACATTTCTTAGTATATTACTAAAAATAATACAGAGGATTGCTAATTAAAGGAGGGTAAATTAACCAGGTTGTCTATAAAAAGTGCTTATTTTGCTTTAATTTACATAACCAGATGAACTTCTTGAAAATACAGGTAAATTTACAATAGTACAGTCAAAAGTCGTTAATCCGGACTCGACAGGACTTCGGCGATTCCGGATTATCGATTTTTCCGTATTATAGATCATCAGTTTAAATCTGGTAAGATGGCATACAGAAATTACAAAATTAAAAATATGAAACCGTAATTTATGAAATAAAGAACAATTATGATCTAAAGGGTATCAAAATTTCCAAAAAGAAAAAGCTTAATATTTATTTGTTTACTTTATTAAACATTTCTTACAATGTAAGTTGTTTAAGTTGCTTTGTTTCATGTGATAATACTTTCTCTTTAATTCTATTAAACAGACATAATTTATTGTTTAGTTACAAAGTTCCGCTGTTCAAGTCCTATAATTGCTGTGTCGAGAATACCAACTAATTTGTCAATCGAAATTTTTCCGTTTTCAATAACCTCTGTGTCACTTTTTTCACTATCGGAAGTGAATTATAATGATGAGGAACTTGATTTAAATCATATCAAAGGCAGAATACATCGAGATGAAATACTACATTTAGTAAGGAATTATAAGCCAAATAAAATAAAAACATCTGTCCTGAATATAAGGGTAGTAGTGACAGATCAACTTCCAATGCATTGCGCGCCGTGGTGACAGATCAACTTCCAATTCATTGCGCCCGGCCACTATCGGAAGCGAATTATAATGATGAGGAACTTGATTTAAATCATATCAAAGGCAGAATACATCGAGATGAAATACTACATTTAGTAAGGAATTATAAGCCAAATAAAATAAAAACATCTGCCCTGAAGATAAGGATAGTGGTGACAGATCAACTTCCAATTCATTGCGCGCCGCAGTGTCCCCCCCCCCCGCAGAGCAGCGTAAAGTTGATAAACAGATTTCGAAACATACTTTTGCTTTGTAGATCCTTTACATATTAGTAAATATATATCGGAAATTCTATTTGACATAATCGAAAGTTCAAGCTTACTTTTATAAAATTGCTCTAACAGTCTGCAAAAAATAATAAGCCGGATCCAATTCGAAGATTAAGGAACAACGCAATCTGCAACATTAACTGAATTAGATAATTTTAGCTTAACTTATACTGTCCATTATACATTAAACGCGCATGCGTAAATTATTATGCGCATGCTCACACGCATATTCGCAGCCGTAAAGGTCTTACGCGCACGCGAAAATGCCTATGCGCATGCGTCAACGCAAAGAAAGTTTGTAGCTTTGAGGTCCGGATTATAGATCATTCTGGATTATGGGTGTCCGAATTAACGACTTTTGACTGTATTTTATGTTAATTATAAAATAGGTTACTCCGTTTTCCATTTTTTTAACCGTCTTTGGATTAATCATGATTTTGAAGTAACCATGGGCATCATCCCTGGTGTTATCCCAGTAAACTAGAAGAGTTCATTATAATGCAAAATGTACTATAAAGTACAGTGTACTTCTATATGAGTCAATTTACAAGTTGGCATGATTCTTGTAAAGATTCATGTCTGTGTTTCAATAATCAATTGAATATTTAATTCCCCCCAAAAAAAATGTTTAAGCCAACAGAATTTTTCCAAGTGTCTTCTTCTAACCTTCTTGCTTCTCAATGCATCTCTAGATCTCATGCTTATATCATGAAACTATAATTTAGAACATATGCCTCATCAATTAGTGTAAATAAGACTTAAAATATTTTGCTTGTTAATTTACTCAGTATTTGTTTTATTTTTATTGAATATTTTTTTTTAAATATCTAAAACCTGTAACTTCCATGTGAAAATGAAATGTAGATGATTTTATTGTTGAAAGAAATTACATTGACAGTTTAACATAAAGGAATATTTTTCTGAAGTTTCTCTTGGATGTGTTGGCATAATTTGTAACTGCCAATTGAAATCAGAATGCACTTTACGCTGATACATTTTTATATATCTGTGTATTCATAATATTTAAAAAAATGTTTGTGCATTTGTTTGTGTTATTTAAATAAAATATTGCTGCTAAAAATGTCAGTAGTATCTTTAGTGTGCTGATGTGTGAGGGTACATTAGTCTCATTCTTAATCTCATATACACTCATGCAAAACAATTATTTAAAATTTACACCACAGATTTGAATGTTCTTTTAAAATAGACCAGCTGAGCTTTATAACCCCTGAAAAGTGGTAGTCTGATTTGGAATCATATCCTGACAAATGGGCTGGCTGATTATATGGGAGTTACCAGTTTTTCCCCTGTATAATGTGAATACCATGCAAAACGTCTTCCATGAAGGCATTTCTTCCCTTAGGGAACAGCAGTTAAAGCAACTGATATTCTAATGGAACTTTTAACAGAAATATCTGTTTTGACGTGACAAATTGCATTTAAAGATACTTTTTAGATATACTGCATGATCAGGACTATGAAAAATCGCCTGATTTAACTTTTTAACTGTCCTGCCCGAAATAATCTCGGGCACAGCAATGGTGTTCCAAAATGTCACGCCTGAGTATTAACTCCGGGTAATTTTTGTTTTATATTTTTGTTTGAATATATATCGTGAAAAGTTTATTTCTCATTAACTTTATTGTGAGAAGTTTATCTAGTTAGTTTTATTTATTATGTCTAAAAGACAGTGCAAAGCTTGTTGTTCAAGAAAGGATGAAAATGGAAAAAAGGTAAAAAGGAAACATGATTCTGGTGTACTGATTAAGGAGTTAGTTTGTTGCTTGGAAAATTGTTTCCAGTTACACCACACAAAACTGAACTACGGAATTTCTAATAGGTATTCATTTTTATTTATTTTTTTAGAATTTTTTTAGATTTTTTTTTTTTTTTTTTTTTTTAAATTTTTTAGAAAACAATGCTCCACTAGAAGAGAACTTTACCACTGCCACCCTCAGTGGCAGCCTCCTCAAGCGAATATGCAGTGGCTGCAAAACCTTAAAATTGTTATGCATGTAATTCAAAATGTCAGTTTTTATCTACTAAGTATATTTTATTTTGTACTAAACATTTGATTTTTGCAATAAAAAAAAATTATGTACCCAAATCAAAGTAACTTGGCAGTTAAAGAGTTAACAAAAAGCCTGTGTGTATGTTTTTCTTAAAACATCTTCCCACAAAGGCTTCCAGATAGCCTTCAGGTTGCTTTGTCATAGTCAAAGAATCCATACCATCCTCATCTCAACGACATTTGCTTCAAATGAGTTTTGTGTTTCAACGACCAGAGCTGCTCTTTTGCCTCGGCTGGCAGCTATGATCATAATGGCTTTCAGACGCTCTTCCATCTTTCAGGCAGATAGGCAGAAAGAAATTGACAGTTCATTATAGAAATTAACAATACAAACCAAAATTAATACCTGGAAATAGCTCAAGGAAAAAGCAGATATTAAGCAATTCCTTCTTAGCGCTCAAGGCTGAATGAATATGGAAAAGCTACATACAAACCAAAATTATACCTGGAAATAGCTCAAGGAGAACGCAGATATTAAGCAATTCCTTCTTGGATGAAGATGGAAAAGCTACGAGGGCTCACTGCCTACGAGGAGGGATGGCTTCGTGAAGGACTTCTGGAGAGAAACTGTCTTGTACTCATGGGGAAAACTATGAAAACCAACCATGCAGCTAACTGTTTTGCCTGGGATCGAAAGAAAGCCAGGTCGAACTGCCAGCGTTCAACAATTTTAACCACGCAGCCAAAGGTGTCCCTTAGCTCAAGAAAAAATGTCATAAGTTCTTCTCGAATCATTCACAAGGTAAAACCCAAATCGCAGTTTAGCTAAGCACTAAATGTGAGCGCTAAGCGCTAAATCTAGCAGCTCATTAAGAACTGACATCCAGACTCTCCGAGTCTTATTTATATAGTGCAGCACAGGCTTTTGGAAATTTCGGTAGGACTCGGAGGGAGATCTCTGAAAATGTGTTTTTTCGAATCTTCGAAATAGTAGTCAAATTGGTGAGAAATCGCGAAATATAGCCCTTTGTCGCCAAGATCTGTGAGGAGCGTATTTACCCATCTCTCTCCGTGAGATATTTTTACAATTTAAACGTTTTTGCATTCAAAATTAAAAGATTTACCATTCCATATAAGAAACATATACACAAAAATAAAAATAAACCCTAAAATTATCAATTTTAAAAGCACCAAATAAATGAATAAAAACCATAAACAATATTGCTACAATACAGAAGAGCAACAATGCAATTAAAGACTTTATCGTTTACAGATATTTCCAAGAATATATTTTCGTAGGAAATATTTATGTTTATTTGGAAATGCCTAATATCTTTACCGGAAATAGTAACATTTCATGATTAACAATACTGATAATTTTTATCCTATGTAAATACACTCTTTTGCAAAAAAATCGAAGCACCAAGAAGGACTTCTGCGATTGTGACGAAATTTGGTATGCAAAATCATCTTGATCGAACATGCAAATGATCAAAGTTTCAAGGCAATGAACTGGAATTGCGATCATAGCGCGTATTTCTAGTGAGCAATTCGCAAAGTATAAAACTAGTAACAGAGGCGGAAAATTTACCTTTTTTTTTTTTGTTGTTGTTGTTGTTGTTGTTTGTTTGTTGCTAGCATTGTAATTCCGTAAAGAAGCAGCAACTAAAAATGCCATTACGACGATATCCAAGACCTTACAGACAACTAAACTACTTCGAACGTGGTCGTATTGTAGGGTTGCTTGAAGTTGGATGGTCATACCGAGCAATAGGCCGTCACCTGCAGCGTACAGATACTGCTGTGTAAAGATATTGGCAGCAATGTTTGCTACAAGGATATTGCCGATGAAATGAAAGCGCTGGAAGGCCAAGGAGCACAAATGCGAGGAAAGATAGGATGATTGTTCGCTACGTCCGAACCGTCCCAACGGTATCATTGTCGACTATTCAACGCACTACAGCCACGTCTATACCTCTCGTGGTACCGTCCATCATCTCACGGCGCTTGTCTGAGGCGGGGTTCACAGAGGCCTTTAAGACGTTTGCCTTTGACCCCACAACACCGGCGGAGTCGTCTAGAGTGGTGTCGCAGTTGATCATCATGACTGCCATCAGATTGGCATCATATAGTGTTCAGCAATGAATCCTGCTTCA